GTCACCTGATGTAGAGAGTCCCTTTTATGTAACTCTGGTGATCTCAGTCTCAAGCCAAGTCCTTCCCTTTGTTGTTTTGAGCGGTCTTACTGAGATGCTGGAGTTGAACCCAGGACCTAGGAAGCATGGTTCAAGCCAGCTGTAACACCCCATCCCACCCCCCGCCTGCAGCAGCAGAACTCTGGTTTCGGGGAATCTGATTTTTTGTTTGCTTCTGAGAGGTTTCAGTCTGTTGGCCTGACTGTCGAGGTTTAGCATCTCAAACACTGGAAGAGCTGCTGCCGCCCAGACTCTGCCTCACTCTCCAATCCCACATTTATCACCTGATGCCTTTTGTCATGTTGCAGCCGTATCAGAAATAGACATTTTCCTGTTCCGTCTCTGCACTAACATGGAAGATTCAATGAGACAAAGGAAGAATTTTGCTTTCTGTCTGCTCTATACATTATTCATATTCAATAATCATATTCAATTGGATTCTTTTCTTCCATGTGGCAGACATACTGTATTATCTTTTCCCGCTGAAAACATGGTTTCATGAGGCTTCTTCTTTTCTACCAAGGTATTTGGCATCTGGCCTCCCATCTGGCTTCCTAGCAGAAACATCTGGAGAGCTTTGAAAAATACAGGATCTGAATCCACAGGTCTTGTGGAGCGTCTGGGAGCTTTTACCTACAAAGCTGCACTAGTGAATCTTCTGACCAGCCAAGCTGGGGAACCACGGCTCCAAAGCACGTGTGTCTCAGTCCCTGGGAACATCCCCGGGTTGGAAGCTTCACTAGCAGGACTCGGAGGACTCAGCATTGTCAAGTGTCGGGGGATGATTTCTTACAACAGAGTGATAGAAAATAAAAGTAGTGAAGGGAAAATGAGCCTGGGGAGAGAGGCTCCAAGGAGACCAGGCATAGGTTTCCAAGAGTCCTCTCGTGCGGTCCCCCAGGAACTGCTTAATTCCTCCAGCATTGAATTGTGATAGGCCAAGAAGCTCACTAGAGACTCAGTGCCCAAGATGGTCCCATCACCTTGGCACTCTCTGCCTACCATGTACCCAAACTCCAGACTCCCTGGAGAAATCAGGGAGTTCACACAAGCAATTTGGGCACACGAAGCCACTCTAACTTACTAGGGAATGCTCCCCAAATCCAAGTTCCCTGATGCTGGCCAGGGACCAGCCTTGAAAATAGGCTAAGGATAGGAGTCTCGGACCTCCTGCATTATCTTTTCTCTTCCTGAATAGTTATATAGAAAAGAGGTAAAAGGTAACTCRATTCAAAGCATGTTAGCCAAGTTTCTGTAGTGGGTAAGAAGAAAAACCTCTGGATGAAAATGGAGATTCAGGTGGTGAAATATGAAACTCCATTCCTTGAAGATCTTCATCAGCAAACTCACTTGTCCTTAATGAAGAAGTGGGCCATGAACTTGGGATGTGGACCATCCACCTCCCTGAGACTTTTTGGTGATTGGGCTCCACATAAAAAAGAATAGATGATTTGCTTGTTTTATGTCCTCAAAGACCACAACTAGATGAACCTGGAGACACTCATTCACTTGTGTCTCCTGTTCCCTTTTCCAGTTTTCCAGATGGAATTGCTTTTCCTTTAATCTCTGGAAAGGCATGATTATAAGTGGGATGAGATGGTCAAGGCTTGCAGCACATCCAAGTCACTCAAAGCTGCAAGTTCCATGACTCCACTTTGAGTTCCCCAAAAAGAAACAATGATGTTAAAATTCAACATCTTGGGCAACCAGGCATTTTCTTTTATGTTAGCAATACTTTGTAGGATGCTTTGATTTTTCTGTAGACACCGGCATCTCCTGCATCTACAGCCTTCCAGGATTACCTGGTGGCATAGAGGCAACTCCTCTGAGGCAGGGGGATGGCAAGATCAATAGGGAGAGCCAACTCTTTATTCCCATGGGAAACTTCCTGGCAAAGAACCTGAGTATTTCTTTATTCAACTTGCACATTTCCTTCCTTCTAAGCAACAATATTCTACCTCAAGTTCATCTATGCATATTTGCTTATATTCAGTTCACTGATTCAGATGATTAGTGGGACAGCACGTCCCATGTACAAAACCCTTCTTTAACCTAACAATGACAGTCAGACTCACTCAGACATTTTTGTCAAGGTGCAAAAGCCCCTTCTTATCRGACTTGTTTTCCATGAGTTTAATAATTTCTTCCATTTCTCTCTCTTTTCCATTTCTTTACATTCTTCTTAAAAGTGTGGGCCATAATTGGATTTTCTGATTTTCAATACAAACATACTCTCTTATATACCTAAATTCTTTACAAAAATTTTGACAATTGTATGTAATTTAATATGTATTAAAACTAAAAATAGGTAAAACAAATACTAAAAATTTTCTAAGTTATGGGTATAACATGTAAATTACCTTGATCTTGTATTAAGTGTAATTCCCTGCTTTTTGAGTCAATTTTTAAAAATATGAATGTTTTAAGAAGCAAGACTCTTCAGAAGTGAACGTGTTGTGGACAGGTGAGCCACTGTGGGCCAGAAGCAAGGTATTGCTGCTCTGCATATTGTAAAATGGTGCACGCCATTGAGGAAGGATCTCGTCTCCATCCTGGATGCCAATCACCAATACCTGCAGGCCACTACAATTGCCTGGCCCAGAAAGCCCACACAGAGCTTTCCTTTTGAGAAAAGGAAAAGTTGCCTGTTCATCATCAGCTTGTGATCTACTGTAATCTCAGGCTCTTTTCCATTTCTCCCTCACTTTCATTTGAAACCAACTTGCTGTCATTTACTTGTTAGTAAATGCCTTCCTTTGTCTATCCAACAACCTGTGTTGAGACTTTTGCTATTCTCAATATCAGGGTATTGAAAATGTTTATTTTCGTGACTTAGAATATTCCTGACCTCACCTAGTTTCATGTCCTTGAAAATTTGATGAGATGAGTCTTAATATTTTCACCCAAGAAATAAATACTTTGTACAAAGTGCTCTGGAAGGATAGTATATGTGGACAGATCTAGAAAATTAAGAACTTTTACTGAGTACTATGTAAGCACAGAGTGATAAAAAAACCTAAGGCATATTCTCAAGCCAAACTATCATTCAACACAAACATAAGAGAATTGACAAATAATAAAGAAGGCTTAAAAGAGAATCTGTGGTATTTTTTGAGGGTTGGACCTTTCAGCATTGCCAAGCCCACAGGTTTAACAGCAATCCAAGTGTCACTGTGCTGTGACATCAAAGAAAAACACCTGTGTGTCACCAGAGCTTACCATTTCTTGTGTAGGAAATAATTGAGATAGATAGATAGATAGATAGATAGATAGATAGATAGATAGACAGACAGATAGATAGAGAGGTGTATTTGTGTGCTGTCTAGGCAGGAGGACCACAAGGGTGGAATAGGTGGGCCCCTGATTTTCCACTACCATGTACACCTTTTCCAAGTGGGACCTTAGAGCACATTCCGTAGAGGACCACTTGATCTGGTGGGTAGTCAATGTGGTGCATTTATTTCACATATTTACAGTTGTTCTTATATCATAGCTTAAATGGGGCTTCGGAGCAGAATTATTTTTAAACCTTTTTTTAAAAAATGTCACAAATATGATAGATAGAACCAGTCAACCACCCTCCACCTCTTTCACCCCACCCTCCACCCATTAAAAACATTTTGTTAAAGGTTCAGGTGATCAGACCCCTAGAAAATGAACTGTGAGCAGTGTCTTAATGGCAAAAGGAGTGAGCTCTCAGGGGTACAGGAAGTGGAGGAAGAGAAACGGCTTTCTAGAGCCACGGTGGGTTTCTGAAAGGAAGGAAAAGCTGTGCGTTTGTTAGAAAATGAAGCTAAAGAACTGAAGAAGGCGATGTCCTCTAAAGCAATGGAAGGCTTCACCTGGCACACCTGCAAGTGCTACTTAGGTGCTGTGGGCTGAGCCTGGCTGAGGAGCAGAGGCCGAGGCCCTGGTGTGAGATGGGGTCAGCTGGACATGGAGAAGACAGCTCACCTGCAGCCTGCACATAGGTTCTGGAACATGTCCTGCGGTGACTGAGAACATTCAGGGCCCAGGGCCAGCATCCTCCTGCTCCTTCAGAGTAAGCCACTCAAAGTAGGCCAGCTAAAAGGATCAGGGATCTGAGCAAGGCCAAGTCTACTTGAGCTAAGCCGCTTGCACCTGGGTAACGCAGCTTGTTATCTAATAGGCATCATTCCTGGTCATTGGAGCCCAGGGATGGACGCTCCTCTTGGAAGGATGCAGGGGATCTGCCTCTGGCAAAGTAGTGCTCACTGTTGCTATCAGAAGTGATAGAACACCAGAGGGCGCTCTGACGGGGTCCACCTGGTACTTTTACTGCCTCGCCAGGATGTGAGTAACGGTGATTCTGCAAGTCTTCATGGCAAGAGTTCATGTTAAGACTCCTCAAATGAGTTTAGAAAATGCTTCCATTTCCATCCCTGATGTAGGAAAAGGGCTTCTGCAGTGTTTGGGACCGATGTGCACTGAGAGTAAAATGGTAAGACACATAAAATGGGGGAATGAAGACCCAGAGTCTTCTAGTCTGGGGAATCCATGATCTTTCAGAAACAAGGCATTTATATTTTATATTGTCGATCCACTAACTTTCTATTCACTTAACATCTGATTTTTCAATGAGAGGACTTATTAGAATTCGGAAACGATTCTGCTGTAATGCTAAACAATCCTCATTATTAAAAACTCACTCTACTCTTGAGTTAGGGCAATGACTACCAGTGAATTGACATAAGCCCACATTTCACTTTAATCAAAAACTTGAAAACGTTACTCCCTAAATAGGCAGCAATGTATTTTATAAGCACCACAGAGGTTTAGTACATAGTTTGCATGGTTAATTCAGAAACAACCCCCAACACTTGAAGGTTACTTGATATATGCGACCATCTTCTTCTCATGGGATATGAGGTAAATTCAGACCAGGGAGCCACTGGGTACACAGTCAGCCCTGGGCTCCATGGGGCTGTCCTTCATAAAAGTGAAAGAGGTACAGGCTGATGTTTCCATTACAAAACCTGTAATGTTTGGACTGCGACACAACTTAGAATTTTTAACAGCTGAGAACTCATCGTTTGAACAGAAATAAGTGTTATTTTAGCCACTTTTGGCACCACTGTGCTAGAGAGCACGTTTGGCCTAGATTCCATTGACATCATGACCTTGTTCTGTTGGAGACCTAGGGCAAACACAAAGTCAAGGCCGTCTCAGAAGTACATGTAGTATGCCCAGTAGAACACATTGGCTAGCATAAAAACCAAAGGGAACAGTAGTTTGGAATATCGATCAACATTGCTGGGGTTTTGAATTGTGAAATAATCCACAATCCTGCCCATCTTTTCTCTGAAGACGAACTTGAACTTGTCGCTGGTTTTCATTGTCATGTTGCTGTAGTCAACATTGTCACCCGAGATTTCAATGGTGGCAAAGCTGATCTTCCGCTTAAAGCTGGAGAGGGAGCTGTTGATGATGTTAGTGATGCTGACTTCTTCCACCTCCTTCGCCGTCCCCTAGTTCACAAACCATGACGTTAGCTTGGAAGACTTGATTCAGCAAAGAAATAAGTGGGCAGTAAGCTAATGAGAAGTTTAGAGGCCTAAGTGTTGAGTAATTAGGTTTAACAGAGACTTGCAGCCCTGCTGTCCTGTTTGTGGGCACCTACCTGTGGGTCCCCAGCCTGCATGACGAACAACCATCACCCTCCCTAGATCCACAGGGCAGGGTGCCAGATACCAGCTGCGCAGGCTGTAAAGTCAGCAGACCTGGGATTAGATCCCACTCAGCCTCCTACTCTTGTGGACATCTTGTCACCTTAATCCCTCTTAGACTTCATTTACTTGCCTGCAAAATGGGTCATGATATAAATAGCTACCGTGGGAGCTGATGGGGAGATTAAGTGGAATAAATCATGTGAAGTATCTAGCAAGTATTTGGTGAAATTCTATTATTTTCCAGGGAGAAGGAATTAGTGGTTATGGGAGATAATAGAAATCAGCCGGGTCCTGAGTGAGGTCTATGCCACACAAAAATAGAAACTTCGATGCTCCCCTTGCAGTGGCAGGGGGTTGGTGTTCTCTAGCAGGTGGGCGTGGCCAGGCTGCGGGGAATGTAATACAGTCAGACAGAATGTGGTTTGGATTTGGGGACAGGCTATTTATTAGGACTAGGGTCCTGGATGAGTCACCTTGCCTCTCTGGCAGGTTTCTCTATAGTAAAATAAGGACAATAATGGTACCTATTTCACTGGGTTGTTGGGTGGACTAAAAGCTGTTGATAGGTATTTAGCATACAGCAAGTACTCAATAGCGCACCTATTATTACACACTCAGGAAAATAAAAGCATCTGGTGCTTTGGTGGAGGATCTCAGTCACATTCCAACCCCCCTTTTACCAATCTAGAAAACTAGACACTTGGGGGGTAATTAGACCCTTTTCCTGACCCTTCAGGGAGCCTGCAGGGAGCAGAATGAATGAAACCCACATTCTTCTTTGGCTGGCTCAGTGCGTAGACTTCTTTGCCTGTGTCACTTGGACAACATGGCTTTGTGGAGTGCTGCTGGCAACAGCAGGACACAAGGGAAGCCCCTTCTGCCCCTTCTAATGATGCCTTATCTGCCCACTGTTGGACCTAGCGCAGTCTGGCCCATTGCCAAAGGCAGGTACGTCTTTTGAATTGGATCCTACTATTTTCTTTCTTATTCCTGTTGGCCTATTAAAGGATGGTAGGATCGATTCAATTTGGCTTGCAAATGACCCAAGGGTTCCTCAGGGCTGTAAAGAGTAATAGCCAAGAGCAAGGCCCAATGTCTACGGCCAGCAGGACAGAGGGACAGGGCCAGGCTTAGAAGCCCCAGATCTAGATGGAAATCTCCCCTCTACCTCTTACTCTCTGTGTCCCTGAGATAAACCTTCTCGTCCCTCAGATTCCACAACTGAAAAATGGAGATAAGAACCTTGTTGGTGGTTAGGAGCATTTAAAATGATATGATATTTCCAGAAGGTTTCGATCTGGTGTGTGTAAGTACTTAAATAATAATAATTGTCATTATTTTTCAGATAACTGGACCCTGATGTTCTGCTGCTAAATCAAAAAAAAAAAAAACAATCTTTTCCAATTAGCAGAAAAATGTGCTTATCAAGAAATTTGTCTCAATTTAATTTTTCCATAAACCACTACTTGTATAATTTGAAAATGCAAGAATGCAACAAAATAATTAAATAGTACCTACATATTAACCTGAGACTTGTAAACAACTGATCAAGTGTGGTTGGAAATTAGATTTTTCATGGTTTCCTGTTCTTGTAATTGTATGTTGCTTATGGATGAGAATMATTTTCTGCTGGAATTAAATGTCCTGATATCTCATTGCATTTGGTAAAAGGGATGGCCTTTTTCAAGGGGCCCCATGACTTCCATATGTGCCCACATTGGAAGGATGGGACTTACTGGAACCAAGCAAGTCACTGGGTGACAGACACTAGAACCAGCTCACCTCTACAGGGCAGCCCATGGCAAAGTGACAGAGCACCCACAGGGGCCTCAGGATTCTTACCCTGTCCTTGGCTTCCATCTGCTGCAGGGAGCTGTAGTGAGCAATAGCGTACTCCACCAAGGCCCCAAACACAAAGCTAAAGCAGATCCCCAGGTACACGTCGATGGCTTTGATGAAGCAGTTGGTGTTGGGAAGAGACGTGCGGGACCCGATCATCAGTGTGGTCATTGATAACACAGTGGTCACTCCTGGGAAAAGAGCAGGAAATGTTTCCAAGATGGCGGCCAGTGGACTTTCCTCTGTTATCTAGCGGAGGGTCTCCACTCAGGGGTCAGCCAGGCAAGGACAGGACTCAGAAATGGAGCATATCTCATTCTGAAAAACCTATGACCTTGTGGACCTGGGTTAATTTGCCCATTTTGCACAGAAATGAGCAATGTGGTTTGCTAAACCATTTCCTTCCACAACATCACCGACAGGGGTCACCTGATCACAATTTCCCCTCATCTGTCACTTTAACAAATTTAAAATTGCATTGCTTCTAAAGTTGTCTCTGTCTCTTTCTGTAAAAGACTCTCAAGAAGCCAGCTRTTGGATTGCCCTGGGAATACCAATGAAGACAGTGACAGAAGGGGGAAAAATGTACGCGGTGACCCAGTTCTTAGAAACTTACCGATGCAGGTTCTTGCAGGGACAGAATCCAGGGAGATCCAAAATGAAACCCAGGACAGCACCACCAGGAAAGTGGAGGGAACATAGGTTTCCAGAATGAAGTACAGGACATTCCTCCGCAGCTCAAATTGCAAGACCAACCGGGTGTAATTTCCTGACGGGGTCAATAAGAGACAAGAAATCGTGTCTGCTCACATGGTGGAGCAGAGTCCCCACGGGACGGTTGACTGAACTATATTCACATGAAGCCCCCAGTTATTCACCAAAGCCTGGCTCATGTCGAACTGCCATGGTCCCCACAACACCTGGGTATTTTTTGCATGGAGTGGGACTCCCAGGGCTGCTGGCACTGTGCATTGCAAGTTCCACTTGGGCTTTTCTCCGTCATCTGACTCCTACATTGTTGTGACCCCCAGTGTCCTTGACATTTCCTCGCTAGACTGTGAGCCCCCAGCACGCAAACCCTGCACCTTTCAGTTCTGTGCTTACAAAGAAGTTGTTGGATAAGAACCTCCTCGGGGATTACCTGAGACTGTCCATTTCTCAACATTCCCACTGGGTAGACCTAATAGACCCATTCAATGGCATTTGATTTTTTGATGTGTCAGAGGTATCCTGGATTTACTGTACTTTAGGAAACTATCATACCCTAGACGTGGGGGATACGAGCAATGAGTGCTATTGCTGATCGAATTCTGAGCAGGAGAGAGGGCCTTGGGGTGTACAGCATGTGCMGCGGGTTAGAGAAGCAGGTGCTTCTGTGAAGGGAAGGTCATTGCAGCCGACAGGGCAGCAGTGGCCGGGGCCGGGCTGGGGAAGGGTGGAGAGGTTGCCCCAGGAACAGAAGTCTGGCTCAGACTAGAGTAGGGAGAAAACAGGAGAGCTGAGGGGACAGCTCAAGTTCCTGCCACCCCAAAGTAAATCCTGGATTTAAAATTCTACCATAAATTAGCTAATGAGCAAGTGATGAGAAAGTAGCAGATGCTCATAATCAAACCCCGTCTTTGAGAAAATCCGTTTCAGTCCTGTGCGAGGAATAGGTGCAGACCCTCTGCCCTCCACCCCTTCTGCCCCTCTGAGGGGTTTCTGGACCCTGAAGGAGTGAAGTGGAGAAGAGAGGAGACTTCTGACTCAGAGTGCAACCCGCCACTTCTGTTCGGTTATTTTTATTTTGTACGATTTGCCACACAAGTTACCTGTCTCCTGCTGGGACCTGGTGACTAAGGTGAAGTAGCGTTGTATGGTATACTGAGCAAGCCGCAGGTTTTCCAGCCCTCGCACAGAATCGTTCCCTCTCAGCCAGGTGAACTCCACGTCATTTCCATCATAGCCCCCTGCCAATAAACAGAGCCCTGGTCAGTGCAAGGGCACCGACTGAACTGGTCTGGAAAATGCTATGACACAGAAACAGTTTGGGCTCCATCCTGATGGTAGTGGGCCCAAGGATGATTCCAGGCAAGACCTCTCACGTGCCACACCAGTGCCTGCTCAGAGTGACGTCACCTACTAGGACATGCGCCATCCATTGAGAACTGGTCCTATGGTAAGCAGGGTCTAAACCTGGATGATGAGCCTTAGATGTGGCCTCCTTCAGAGGCCAGCCTCAGCAACTTAGCAAGGCCCTACGCAACTTAGCAAGACTGTGTCTCAAAATGAAAAATAAAAAGGGCTGAGGCTGTAGCTCTGTGGCCGAGGGCCCCTGGCTCCAATCCCCAGTAAGCAGCGGCCTCCTTCCTCACTGAAATACCATACCCACCAACACCCAGAGGCCTGTGCTGCACTGCTTCCCAGGCCAATCTAAGTAAGTGCCGATGGGTCTTCAGAGACTTCAGAACTAGTCTTTCATATCGCATTGGTGGAAATGCGAAAACCGAAACAAGAATCCTGCAGCCAGCCACTTCAGTGATGCTTGTCACCAAGTGAGTTTGATAATCTCAAAGCCGTTTTTTTAACTTAGCCAATAATTGTAATCCTGGACCCACTTGGTCTCTAATGTTCTCACAAACTTGTAGTCATTTCTGTGTCTCTTCAATAAGTATTATGTGTTATTCAATAAGTATTCTGTCTCAGAATTAAGGAGCTATAATGTTTTTCCCAATTTATACATAAAAGCTCTCAGATTCAGAGGGGTTGCCTAACTTTCTCCTGATAACAAAGAAGCAAGAAATAAAGCCTGCATTGAACTTTAGGAAAGTTTCATCTCAAAGCCCTTGGATGATAATGATGGTAATTATAATATGTCATTTAATTTAGTAAACATTACTAAGTGCCTTACAACATCATCATCTCATTTAATCCTCGAAATATCTCTTTGGAAATATATCTGAATGATTAATAAGCACACAAAAAATACCCAACATTATAGGTCATTAGGAAAATGCAAATCAAAACCACAATAAGATGCTATTTCATACTCATTAGAGTAACTACAATAAAAAAGACAGATAACAAAGTGAGGACATAGAGAAATTGGAACTGCACTGGTGGGAATGTAAAATGGTATAACTACTTTGGAAAAAGGTTTGGCAGTTTCTTGAAAACTTAAATATGTTTTTACCATTTGACCCATATTTCACACCAAGGTCAAGAGAAATAAAATCTTATTTATACAAACACTAGCACACAACTGTTCAGAGCAGCATTACCCACAATAGACAAATGTTTGTCGACTGATGAATAAATAAATTAACCGTGATACGTATACAMGTACATCTCCATACAAAGGAACATTACCTGGCAATGAAAAAGAATGAAGTGCTAATAACACACTGTGACGCCTATGAACCTCAAAACTGTTCTGCTAAGTGGAAAAAAAAACAAATGCAAAAGAGCATATATTATATTGATTTCCATTTATATGAAATATTCAGAAAAGACAGATTCATACAGAGAGAAAGTAGATTCATGGTGCCTGGGAGCTGGTGGTGGAAGGAGGGGTGATTGCAGATAAGCCAAGGGGTCGGGGGAATGCAATATGGCAATGGTCACACAACTTGGTAATTTTACTAAAACTGTGGAATTCTATACTTAACACCTGTAAACTTTAGGGTATGTAAATTATACCGTAATAAACCTATTGAAGTGGCTGGGGTTGTGGCTCAGAGATAGAGCACTCGCCTAGCACATGTGAGGTGCTGGGTTCAATATCAGCACCATATAAAAATAAATAAATAAAATAAAGGTGTTGTGTCCAACTACAATATATATATAAAATCTATTGAAAACCAACTCACTGAGCCAGACACTATTACTTTCCCACTTCACTGATAAGTAAACTGAGGTCCAAAGAGTTTCATTACCCAAAGCCAAATGGCTATGGATGGGAAAAGTCCAGGGATTCCAGTACCTATGATCTTAAACACAAAAATATATCGCCTTTATTTTCCCCACATTTTTATTGGTGCATTACAGTTGCACATAGTGATGGTACATGCACACAATATATTGCCTTCATTTTCTTTTCTTTTTCTTTTTTGGTGCCAGGGATTGAGCCCAAGGGAGTTTAACCAGTGAGTGATGTCCCCAGCCTTTTTACACATTTTTTTTTTTAATTTTGAGATAGGGTGTTGCTAAGTTGCTTAGGGCCTAAGTGGCTGAGGCTGGCTTTGAACTTGCACTCCTCCTGCCTCAGCATACAAGCTGTTGGGGTTACAGGCATCGTGTGCCACATGCCCAGCCATTGCCTTCATTTTCAAAGGCTGCTAGGAAATATGGAGTTAGTGCTGGGACAAATATTTTGAAAAGAATCTGCTTCTGGTAACCAATATCTAGTAGGGGTGGTCTCCTCCATAATGCACCAGCTCTTTAAAGATTTCCAGGTAAAAATTGTCTGTGGGCTTTCCTTTGGAAGCATCCAAAGTTCACTTTGGCACTGAAGTGAGCTGTCCAAATTGGTTGGGATCCCAAAGAACTGAAGAATCTATAAAAACCAAGAGCGCAGTTTCCTACTTGGACACTTTACTTTTGCAACTAGTAAAAGCACAATTGTTACATTAACACACACACACACACACACACACACACACACACACACACACCCCTGTCCCTGGGTGACTATGGTGAATTGTGGGATGGTATCAATTCATTTTTGGTGATGGCATGTAGCAAAAACCCTGAGTGAGGGTTCTGTACCCGGATAACTGCTTAATAAACATGCATTGAAAGCTTCCCCTGCTCACTGGGGACAGTATTTGTGCAAACAGAACGTGAAGTTTCCAGCGGAATATTGCTCCTGGGATTTGAGATGAGCCCAGCCACGACACATGGAGGGCAATTACTTGTTTCATGTGGGACTCAGATGAGTTCTCTTTTGATAACCCCAAGTTTTATTCTGCTACCAAACAGCTGCATTGCTTCAGGAAGATTCTACATGCATTTAATCAATAAGATAATTAATCTGAGTCTTTAATTAAATGTCTACTTTTGAAAAATGGCTTCTACTTCACCATGGGTGGACTTTCCTGATGCCGCCCACTGTGTCCTTAGRTACAGAGGGTCCATTTGTCTCCAGAGCCTGTCCACAGTCCCCTCAACACCACAAGACAGGCTTAGCTGCCTTAACAAGTCCTATCTGTGGTACTCTTTCCCTCGCAGGTGACAAGTTTGGTGAGCACTTTAGAGTGGCTTATTAACAATGGAGATCATTTAACAGTGCCAGGGAATTCATTTGACACACATCACTTAAGAGTAAATCTTCATTCCTCATCATAAGCAAATCCCTAGGTTGCAATTTAGATCCCTTTTTAGCTGGCATTATTATGTTAAACTTTACATATAGCAAGTAAGTTCTTTTAAAAGTTGGAAGCAGTTSTGTGATAAATATTAACGGATTGCTTTGCATGTTGTCCCTTTTTTTCAAGGCTAGGGATAAAACCCAGGGCCTTGAAAGTGCTAGGCAAGCACTCTACCCGCAGGCCACGCCCCAGCCACGCCCCGACAGGCTCAGCCACGCCCCGGCCACGCCCCAGACACGCTCCAGACACGCCTAGCCAGAGCCACGTCAGCCCCCACCTGGCCCTGCTAACCTCTGCTATGTTCCCTCTTGCTCTTGTGCCTTGGCAGACGCTGTGTCCCACTCCTCGTCCCCTGGGCCAGCTTCAACAGATCCCTCATGTCTGATTTCAAGTGATATCTCCGCTAGAACACCTCGAACTCCTCCAGGCTCCACAGTGCCATTACTTCTTATTGTCACCATCTAGTCTCTGTAATTATTTTAAGTCCTGCTCTCCATGAGAGGACAGACTGAAGGCTGGCACATCATTTCATCTTTGTATTGCAAACATCTACCTCACTATCTGGCACAGAAGTCATTTAGTCATTGAGTGGAAGAAGCAAAGGTATTTAAATGAGGGCTGACAGGTGGAACTCAACCAGCACTCCAGACTCGCTGGAGACCTTAGTGGGAAAATATGCAGAACTAAAGTATTAGAAAGAGTCAAAATATTTTCCTTAGGACACAGAGGAAAAGAAAAACAGTGGCCCTCGTCCTAAGTAATGGAAAGGAGCTAGCAGAGGAATATTGGAGTCCTGTGTGACGATTGTGTCGTAATCCAGTTTAACATTCTGGCAGGATTTGGGGAATCCAAAATAAGCATCATGTGGTTACTCAGTTTGGGGAAAATAATGATAATAAATGGGCACTAGAGAAACTGGAAAGGAGTTATTAAAAGCTTTTCATTATCCCCATATTACTGTTTAAAATCACTTTATGGTATACGCAGAAAATATATATAGCTTATATCATGAACGAGCCACAGGAACAAAATTCCTGTTGACCTTCTAGTCCAGTGGCAGGAATGTATGAAAAGTTTCTTGGTCAAGGAGGCCAGGGCAATAGCACATCACGGTCACACACATTGGTTACATCCTCTCAGGAGTCTTTCCCTCTAGCTTCTCTACTTCCTCTGCAGTGAAGAGGGAGGTTTTGCTAGTGACCACAGTGCTTTTGCACCAGAAAAAAATAAAAGGAGAAAAAAAAGAAAGCTTTTGAGGCTTTCTAGAAACAAGAGGGTTATGTGCTGACAAATGGAAAGGGTGTTGGTAGAAGGTTGTCATTGGTGTCTGTAGGGACCCATGGTTGATTGAATTTTGGTAGACTGACAGTGGGGGCGTGCGGGTGAAGATCATGGCCAAGGGGGATTCAAGAGGAACTCACCGAGCACCACAGACACCTTGAGGATGAGCAGCCAGATAGATGGTATAAATAAAAAGTTAAGAGTTAAACTATCAGGTGTTAGTGTAGACCCATTTTTATCAAGATCTTCTCTATAAAGTAGAGATACTCATGAAACAAGTGAGTCATATTCTGTGGTTACACAATTCTGGGAAATACTACTGCTCCTTCTTGGAATTTCACCTGGAATTTGCTCATTAGGGGCTCTTGGAAGCTCTGCAGCAAGGCAGATTGTCAGTATTTGTGGCTTTGTAGGCCCTTGGGTCTCTGTCATAAAAACTTGACTCTGCTGTCACAGTGTAATGGCAGCCACAGGTGACACATAAATAAGTGGGCAGGGCTGCCCCATGAACCGTGGTTAACAGAAGAGGTGATGGGCTGAGTTGGCACATGGGGGAGGCTTGGGGGCCCCTGGTCTAGACCATGAATCCCACTAAAGCATTCCCTTCCTTTGTCCCTTTGGTAATAATGCATAATAATAATAATAATGCACAATAATAATCCCCAAAAGATGTGATGTTAGAAGGTTTTTCTTTGAGAAGAACATAAATCCGTTTGGAAGGATAGTCAGAAGGACTGAATCCATTGTGAATCAACACCAGAAAAAGAAGGGTCACTGGGTAGGGGACACCAAATTCCAGATCTAGGTCACCCAGGAAAGGGGCCTGTGGGTGTGTCCACTCACAGCTCTCCAGCTGCAGCTTGCACGTCTGCGTGTCCATGGGGTACTTGGACAGGTCCATGTTGCATGCCACAGTCGTTGTGATTCTAAGAAAGAAAAAAACGGGTTCAGAAGAGTGTTCCGAGGACTTTCACTTGGGCTCCTGCAGGGATCATGTGGCGTGGAGACCCATCCCCACAAATTTTTGAGGTTTCCTGTGCTCTTTGTATGTTCAACAACACCCATGAGACTAAGAGAAGCTGGGTCCAGAATGGGGGAGTTGGCAGGCTAGCCACTCAGAGGCCAGCCAGCCAGCATATCACAGAGCAGACTCACGGCTGGCTGGTTTAAGATGTCTTCCTTTCAGTTTTTCAATGTGTCTACAGTCATGACAGTGATCACACGGGGCTTGCTCAGGCTCAGGTGGCTTTGAGTGGCAGAGTTGGAACTGGAGCCCTGGTCTCCTGGCTTCTTGATGGGATCAGGATGCAGAGGGAGTGGAGGGTACCGGGCTCAGTGGCTCTCGGGGCTCAACACCCAGGGACGGTCAGCTCAGTGTCAGAGAAGCCCTTGTGGTGGAGATTTMAATCTACAGGATTTTTTTTTTCAAGAGTCATATATTTTCACTTGGCTTCCTTAATTATTAAGCACAATGAGAGGTGCTCTAGGAAGCAGAGGTCACCACAGCACAGTGCCCACCTTGAGGATCCCACACTCCCCTAAAGGGAGACAGAATAACAAGGACCATTCATCCAGGGCTTGCTGAGTTCTCTACGCCCATTCAGCCCTTTGAGCGGCTCTGGGAGGTAGGCAATACTATTATTCTCATTTTGATGCTAAGGAACCTGAGGCTCAGAGGGTCAAGTAACTTGCCTATGGCCACAGAGCTGCCCAGGACAGAGCAGGGATTGTACTCAAATCTTTATGACTCTAGTGCCAGGCTACAAACCATTACCCACTGTTCGTAATCCTTACCCCAAACTGTGCTGCTGTCTTGCAGACAGACACACGGATAAGCACACATGTGCTGTGGGGACACAGGGAAGGGTACATCAGTGTCGATTGGAGTTGGGGTCAAGAGAGAGGTCTAGTTAGGTTTCTTGAAAGAGGAGTTGAGGTTTGGATTGGTCTTTGCAAAATTCAGGGCCGCTGAGCTGTGTGCAGAAGTCCTGTTAATGGCTAGCTCAGTCTTTGCTTTATAACTTGAGACTCTTACTCTGTATTAAAGATCAGTGTCTTCGATATTTGGTCCTGGCCTCCACCCCCAGGCCTCGGGGAGCCTACTGTGCATGATCCTTGTACCTCGTTTGCACAGGATGAGCCCTCGCTACAGCATGTAGAGACCTCTTTTCCTGTTCTAGCCCTCAGGCTCCATGAGCGATTGGGTGGAAGGAATTTTAGGCCTCAGGAGTTGGGAAGTACGCATGGAGGGCCCAACAATGCAGGTGACAGAGGCTTGGTGGCACTGAGCCTTGATTCTTTGCAAATATGACTCAGACCAGCACTGTCACCTTCTGGAGCAACCTTGTTCCACCGAGTCCCATGAAGGGTCCCAWGCACCTCTCTGCCCTTGTCATTTCCTTCATACTTTTAGACTCAGCCCAGAATCTTGTGAGAGCCTCTCCTAACATCACCCCCAAACCACTAACCTACTCCCCACCTTGGGCCCCAGCACTGAGGGATGCCTCTGTTTCTAGTGTCCTTGAAGACAGGCTGTGTCCTGTCCAGCTCTGTTCCCTCGTATCCAGCGCAGGGCATGGCACAGAGCAGGTGCTCTGTAAATGCTGAGGAGCCAGAGTGGATGAGAGAGGGCCCACTGTTATGGGGAAGGCTCTAGGAGGGCAGGAGCATGGCAGAACGGCCTAGGATTATCTGAGTCTTCTTCCAGCTGCTTCGCCTCCCAGCCCCAGTGCCAGCTCACCTGAGCGCATACAGGACTGTGCCGTTGGAGAAGAGGCGGATGAGTCTGTTTCCCACAGTGACTTCGTGGAGGAAGGACTTCTTGGACTCCACAATGTAGGTGTCAGGCACCCAGAGGAACTCCACCAGGCGGGCATCCAGAGTGAAGCTCTTGTTGCCTTCAAACACCAGCCGCGGGTCTGTCCAGCGCTGTCGGAGGTATATGGTGGCGGTGTAGTCCTGAGGGGGAAGCAGGGCACGGAGATGGGTGAGTGAACGGGGTGGGGGTGGGGGGCAGGGAACCCTCCAGAGCAGATCAGGAGGGTCACGTGTTACCCTCCCACTTCCACTTAGAGCAAGTGCGCAGACCTGGGTGGAGAAGTCGTGTGTCACCTGCAGCAGTGAGAGGAGACACTGTGCTCTTAATTCTAGATGATGACTCTCCTACCAGCAGGGAGTCCCGGTCCAGGGCCTTGACCTCCCTGGCCCAAAACCTTGCATTTCCCAAGATCGAATGGCTAAGGATTTTGGTGGGCAAAGTGCTTAGGTTGTCTGAGATGGACCTGGATGCCCAGTGATCTCTTGGCAAACCTCCCCCAGTGGGACCCAGTCTTTCAGGTGATCTCTTAGATGAGAGGGCCCATGGAGGCGGTCATTAGATGGTGGCTTTCCTGTGTCCCCATCTCTGAAGCACTGTGTGATGTCCAGGCTTCCCCCAGCACTTTTATTCTTTTTTCCCATTTTTTATCCCTCACTAAGTGCCTTCTTCACTCACTGGTTTCTTTCCTCCTGGCCTTTGAATCCATTTTCTTTCTGAGACTCAGAAACCCTGTTCTCCCAATTTCCCGCTATCTTGATTCTGGATCTAGTTCTCTAGCTTCTGCGATTCCAAGTGGAGGAGGGCAGTGCTTCCTTCCCTTCTGTCTTGGAGTAGCTAGACAGCACATGCCCAAGACACTCGAGGCCAGAGAGCCTTGGGTGAAATGGAGGGGAACGGCGCTTACCATGTTACTCTCGGAAATACTAGAGATGCTTGCGATGTCCAGAGTCAGTGCTATCTGAACTGGTTCTCCTAAGAATGGAGAAAAATMCAGAAAAACTTAGTAGAAACACACAATATGTCCTTCTCCCCCACCCACCCATCCATTTCACCCCCTTTGGACTACACAGCCACCCTCTGCATGGGTGCATTGGAAAAACAAAACTATTAAAAATTGCAAAAGTAACACTTGCTTGTTAGAAAAAAATTGAAAAATCTTAAACGATGACAAGGCTAATTTCTATCTTACTCCTTCTCAGGAGCAACCGCTGTGTATAGTGCATCTCCCTTTGTATGAAAAATATGCGTAAGTGAATTGTTATCTTACTACATATGAGACATTGCTCCATTACTTTAAAAGGCATAGTGATAAAGCAGATGGAGGATTTTTCCTGTGTTGCTTGCAAGGGACTAATCATGTAGAATGTGACAGACTTGGTAGTCTGGGTGGAGACCACTGTCCTCCCTTCTCTTCATCGAACTAGACTTACCACCAGATGCCATTCATCTTGCCCCCTCCTAGCTCAGCTCCTGATGATGTCCTAACACCTTCTCCTCTTCCTCTACTCTCCAGGAACCCTAAACTACTTAGAGTTCCAGAACCTTCTGCACTTTGTCCTGTGCACAGACTCTGTTAGGCCTCAATTCTGGAGAGCTGGCAGATGAATTCATAGCTCCCAAGACGGCAGGCTCCCAGCCACTGTCTCAGGAGCCAGGCCAGGCCAAGCCAGACGACTTCTCCTGAGACCACAGATGTGGGAAAAAAAMCCCGAGTCTGAGCCATGTGAGTTCTCAGCTCCACCACATCCCAGCTCTGAGATTTGAGAAAAGTTACCGAATCTTCTCGAGAGGTAGTGCTGTCACCTGCAAGTTGGGCTGATGCTAATGACATCCTAGGGTCATGGAGAGGGTTAAATGAGGTCGGGGGTATGGCAGTGTCTTTGCCGAGTTTCGGTAAGAGGGAATGTATGTGAAGTGCCTGCCCATCACCTGCAGAAGGTGCTCAGACGCGGTTACCTATTGCGGGTCCTGCTCATCAAGTTATAATAGCTGCCGTCAGAGGCATTTCCCTTTCCTCCTCTCTCTTCCCCAATCCTAGCCAATTTGAGAGGAGAAAAGAACCTTTGCTCACTAGGTTAATAGATGCATTCACTTGCAATAAATAACTGGGAGAGCCCCAGGGGACTGTAGCAATGCATTAACTGGCAGAAGAGAGGTGGAATTCAAAAGAAGCTTGAAAACGTCTCATCCAAAGGAATCAGACAAAGCAGCTTAATTATTAATCTAAGGAAACCAAGCCATCGAAGGGAGGTGGGAGTTTGGAAATGGAGTTTTAGAACCAATGCAATTGAAAGGTACTTAAGTGTTAATACTTGGTGGGAAAAGAGAGATCTTTGATGGCAGACCCTGGAAGGTGCTTTCTGAAAGGGCGGGTTATAGAGTGGCTTCCTGCCCCTCTGGACAGCAAAGCACAGCATCAAGGAGAGGATCCTGGAGTCAGGGAGAAGGGTTTGAATCCCATGCTGGWCCCTTAACAGCCTTGCAACCTTGAGCAAATTGCTAGACCTTTCTGTGCTAGTTCACAGAGGTACTAGTGCTGCTGTGGTTTGTTCCCTCTTGTTGTGGTTTGGATATGAGGTCTTCCCCAGAAGCTCCTATGTTAATTCAGGTATGTCTGGAGGTGCAGTAATTGGCTTCTGAGAGCTGTGATCAGTCCATTCTAGTTTGAAAGGACTGACCCAGGTGGTAACGGTTGGCAGGTGGGGTGTGGCAAGAACAGGTGAGTCACTGGGGTGTGTCCTGCCATCCCTTCCCCTCTTCTCTCTCTCTCCCTGCTTCCTGGCTGCCATGAATGGGGCAGTGCTTCTCCAACATGCTCATCTACCACGATGGTCAGCCTCACCTTCGGCCCAAAGCAATGGAGTCGGCCGACCAGGGACTGAACCTCTGAATCCCTGGGCTCGAAATAAACTTTTCTACCTCTAAGTTGTTCTTGCCAGGTATTTTGGTCACAGTGATGGGAAAATGACCAGCACACTTCCCAAACTCATGTTGAAGATAAATTGCCATTTTAACAGTATTAAGGGGCAGGACCTTTAACACGTGATTCAGCATCGGGTGATCAATCATACCCTTGAGGGTAGGATTGATGCGATCATGACCAGCAAGATCGTCCCACTCTTGCCCCCCACCATGGGATGATGCAGCAGGAAGGCAGTGCCCGGTGCTGAACTGGACTTCTCAGCCTCTAGAACTGGGAGCCAGTCAGTTTCTGCTAATTATGAACTACCCAGACTCACTCAGGTCTTCTTTCCAGCAGCACCAAACACAAACAGACTAGGACAAGGCCTGGGGGGGGGGTGGTGGTGCTGGGCTTGGGAAGATTTTGGCATCTGTCTTCAGTGGATGGCGGGTTAGTTGCCCTCCCTGAGGAATGCAGAGGGGGAGGCACAGAGAGCTCCTGCCCAGAGTTTGTTTGGTTTCTTCCTGGACAGTCTGGTCCAGGCCTTGCCGCAGCTGGCTTTTCTGTGGACCAGAGCTCGCTCCTTCTCTCTGGAGTTACAGGAGTGAGCAGTGCCACCAGAGGGCAGCTTCCTCCTAGGAAAGAGGTCAGTGGCGACTCCTCAGCAGCTTCCTCAGTGCCTGCTGGCAGCCCTTTGCTCTGTCCAGCTCAGTTCCTGAACAGTCCCGTGCAGCTCTTGTCTCTTAAGGGCCTCAGGTCCTAGAAGCTGGGTGCACGGACATTACAGAGATTCCAGGCTGCCCSGTGAGTGTAGGTCCCTTTAAGAAGGAGGGAGCCAGAAGGGGAGGGGAGAGGACTTGTGTTTCCCTCTCTGACCAAGGACCCCAGAGCCCATTTCCACCCCAGGTGGGACAGGGCCTTACATTCCCCTAGGTCCACCCCAGGCTTCCTGTTCTCAGAACGGCCTCCTTGCCCAAGCACCCTGTATCTTGTTGGCCAGTGACAGGGAAACAAGAAGGACAGTGACCTGACTTAGTTGTTTTGAGTCTCGGGAGGAGAGAGACGTTGAGAGACGTTTGAGGACCTGGCCAAGGTGTTCAGGCTCACCTGCCCATCAGGGCTCAGCAGGGCCTGAGAAGCTAGCTCTCGAGGYCCCTTGGCATAAGGGGCTCAGATCCTAGTTATGTGGCCAGGCACCCCTTGGACCTCCACCTGAGGCCTGTGATCGGCCGCTGTCCCTGCTGTGCTCTGGGGTCTACCAGCACCTGCTCCAAGGCCAGCTTCCCATGGGCTGTGGCTGACCTGTGACCTGAGCAGGGAGGGATACCAAGGTGGCCTGTCTCCAGGAGCCCCAGAGGCCCAGACTCCTCCAGTGGACAGCTCTGGATCAAGGACACCCTGGTGGCCTTCCCAGCTCTGAAGAGGTAGAGTCAGGTATCCTCACCCCTTGGCCTCGTTTTTCAACAAATATTAGTTGGCAAGTTGCTGTATGTATGTCCAGCATGGAGCTTCTGTGGGGGTGAGTGAGGTACAAGCAGGACTCCTCAAGGGGCTGCTGTCCTGAGCTGAGCCAGGTACAGTATCACAGGGCAACGCTTGGCTATGATTCGAAACAAGGGTCAAAGAAAAGAGATGGACCCTGGAGAAATCAGGGTGGGCTTCTCAGAGGAGAGAGCCTTTTTTTTTTTTCTGTGAAAGGAAAATTGGCATTTTCCTGGGAAGTCATATTGGAAGAACAGTTCAAAGCAGATAAACAGCTTCTGCAGGGAAAGGAAAGTCAGGAAGGCGAAGGACACCAGAGACTGTTGTCCTGGTCACAAAGGATAACCTTACCACCAAAGTTGGGCCTGAGAAATTTGTTATATCCTGCTGTGAGGTTCTCAAAGCCAGGCAGGGAGAGCTTGTCACTTCTTCTGACCTCGATGTTGAACTGGTTCCCCTGGACGCACATCCTGGAAAAGAAAGGGGGGCGGGGCTCCGTTCTACMTGCTTGTTCATGAGTGAGTAAACACGGATGGACGTCAATGTGAACTTGAATTCGCCTGTGGTGTGTCTAGTCCCCGGCAGTGACTTTTCTAAGGAGAAGTCTCTTAATTTTCAGCTGATTGAGTTAGAGTCTCCATTTTATGATGCACTTGCTTAGATCAAACTGTCAAGATAATTTGGGGACCCTCAGAGTGTTCTGAACAGCTCAAGGGTTCAGTAGAGGACACTCCTGTCCTCTACTGAAAATGGGTGGCAGGACGTTGTCTTGTTCTGGTAATTGAGGGAGGGGAAAGGAACAGGGTGAGCTTCACCATAGGGTAGGAGGAAATTCAGCAACCACCCACCGTGGGGCCCTTGGCAACAAAGTTCAGACCAAGGCCACGGTGGGGCAGCTCAGTTTACCTTGGAGCCAAGAGGCTCAGACACACGAAGGTCAGCTGGAGACCGTAGCTCATCTTGAGGAGCTGTCCACACAGACAGGGTCTGAGTAGGAATCACTGGGGGGAAGACAGACAGGTGAGGTGAGGGGAGACGTCCGAAGGCTCCCCTGCCTGGGGGCTTCCCCTTCCTGGGCTGGGCAGGCACGGAGGGTCCTCGACTCCCAGTTCCTGACAGTCCCTCTCTCCTGGCCTTCTAAGCAGCCCCTCTCCCGGGGGGCAGTCTTCTAGGATTGCCATCATTTTGGAGGATTGTTTTAAATCAAACCCAAATAAAGGCCGAGCCAGGAAATGCAGCCAGCTGTCCTGGTCTGCAGATTTTGTGAGTTGCACGGCTGTGCTTACTGTGGCCCTGTCCTGCCACCCCGACTGCGTCTGCCCTCACCYAGTCGGGCGCTGTCCCATCTATCTTACAGTCCAGGCCCTGAGGCAGCTGTGTTGGCCATCTTCACAGCCCCCTGGTGTGGTGGGCAGGTGAATCCCGTCTTCTGATGGGAAGAGGCTCGTGGAGAGGACTGTGCACTGGAGTGGCAGGGGTGACTCTGAATGCAAGGCTGGCTACTGTGCCTCTGTATTGTGTTCCTTCAGGACAGGCCTGAGCCTCAGTTGGCTGATCCCTGGGAGCTCTGAAGCCATTTAGCTGGTGTGTGCATGGAGACCTTGGGGTAGGCATGGCCAAGGGGACTGGCCCCTTGGATCTACTCTCATGGGAGAGCATGAGGTCTCTGGACCTCGGTGGCCATGACAGTGGCATGGGGGTTCTTGGGTTCAGGCCGTCTTCCCAGGCAGCACCTGGCTGGTTCACCCTGATCTCCATGATAACTTCTGTAAACCAGGCCACTTCCTAGAGTCTAGCTATTCTGGACCTTCAGGCCAGATTCAGTCCTTCATGATATAACATTGTGCTGAGCAGTGAATGGCTAGTGGAGTGGAAGTTTCAGGCCACGTGTTTGACATAGGCCTTTGGAACTGCATTTAGCAGGGGGGGTGCACTGAGCCACCAGAGGGCAGTGTCCCAGAAGGTTACTGGGGCAGCTGCAGCTGAGATTAGGGCTGGAAGCACCCAGGCTTCTGCAGTCTGCGGGGCACCTGGCATTCAGAAGGTCGCAGCGGGTGCCTGAAGACAGGCAGCCTATATACCATTACCGACCCTGAGGGCACCTCTGGCTCAAATCTCATCTCCACTTGCAGAAGAGGGCAGGAGCTTCGGATTCAGACACCAGAGTCTCACGACCTCCATTTGCCCCTCTGACCAATGGGAATAAAAACACTCCCTACACCCTCATGGCCTCTCTCCTCTCCCTTCCATTTCTTCCATGGGATTCTTCCGTAATCCCACGGTGACAAAGAGGACCCCAAACTTCAAGTGCTTTCTAATGTCCCCGGTGCTGCCACCCAGAGGGTGAGCTGATTTGGCACCACCGCAGGAAAGACAGGGCAGACACAGGACACTAGGTCACCCAGGGGGCTGATGGCTCCTTTCCTGGCCTGGCTCCGATGAACGGTTCGGGGTCTGCGCTGGGCATGTTTCCGCTCCCACCACACCTGGGCTGCACAGAGGGGCCGCACCCAGCCCCCTTCCCACTCAGGCACTGTTTCCTTGTCCTTCGTCACTTTGGCACAGACACAGGCATTTGCTGGGAAGCAGGAGTGGAGCCTGAATCAGGCCGAGGTGAGGGCAGTCATTATCAGTGCCATGGTCCTGCCCAGGAGGGCCAAGAAAGCAAAGAGGTGCCAGGCGTGCCCTGCACCCGCTGGACTGGCCATCGGCAGCACAGAGGCAAACAGCTGTGGCGCTCATGGCTGATGGGAGGGGCCCTAATTTTGGCTTTGTCACTCTTTCCTAGATGGTACTACTTCCTCCTGAGGCTGAGTTTCCCCCCATGTAAAAGGGATCATGCTGTGGAAGTCAGGAGGCAGAGGAAGGGCTCAAACTCCAGGCCCAGCCCCTTCCATCCCTGTGTCCCATGAGGGTTCCTTGGGATCTCCTTCCTCCCTTCCCTCTCTCCCTCCCTCCCTCCAAGGCCAGCAGCTCCTTACCAGGCAGTGAGAGGCTCTGTTAGGGCAGGGCCTCCTCGGGGCTTCCAGGCACAGTATGCAGGCAGGGCATGCTCTTCTGGGTCCCGAGGATTCCCTCCATCTCAGCCCCAACTCTTGATATGAGATCACAGCCACTCTGATGGGGAAGCCCTAGCTCTGGGAAAGGCAGAGCTGTCGAACCAGCTGGGCAGAAGGAGGTGGGCGGAGCCTCCAGCAGCTCCGCCCTTGGGAGTTCTCATTGGTCCTGGGTGTCTGGGTTGGCTGGCTCCTGGCAAGACAGTTGGCACCCCGGGGGTTTCATTCTGAGTTGGTGTCTCCATAGCCTTCTGGACCCCAGTCAGGAAAGACTCTGAGACTTTAGACCTAGGAGAGTCAAGTAAGGTGGGTGACCCTCTCGGCCATGTCGGGGTCTGGAGGGTACCTCTCCAGCCTTATCCGGGCAGTGTGACCTCAGGCAGACCACTTCACCTCTTCACCCCCAGCTTCCCACCCATAAAACAAGAATTTGCCCATTTTAAACACGGGCTTCTGGATGCACATTGTAAAAGTTTCTTTGGGATCAACAGAAGTCCTGTTCTACATTAAGAATTTTAGGTTCCAGGGCCTTGGCTTTTCAGACCGGAAAATTTCAAAAAGACTTGGAGACCCAGAAATTGAGGATTGAAGCTTAGCAGGCCAACGGGGAGAGGTGGGGCAGACTCTGGGAGGAATTTGGCCAGATCTCTCCACCTCTTCTCCTTCCCATTTCCCAGACCTCCCACAGAGGATTCTTTAACTCTCACAAGATCCCTTTAGGGACACCCAGAGACAAGGCCTCCGTTCCCCCTGGCCAGCTGAACTTCCTAACAGAAGCACTATGACAATGTCCACTGAGCCCTGAGTCCAGTGGCCCTGGAACCCAGCTTGCCGGAGGCTCAGGTTAGAACACCCTGGAGGCTTGGTCTTGCTCCCTAGGGGAGGGGGGCAGGGAGGGACTCATCTGGAGGGGCAGGAGAGAGCTGAGGCTGTGACAAGATGTCCAGAGGCACCTCTGGGACACTGAGGTCAAGCTCCTGCGCAGACCCACCAGTCCTGGAGGTGGGGAGGTGGGAGAAGGGAAGAGGCAGGAGGGAGCTCAAGGAAGATACAGGAAGTTAAAGCAAGTGGGCAGGAGGGAGGACCTCAGGGTACAATGCACCATAGATTCCTCTGGCCCCAAACCAACTTCCTTAGAGCTCCTCTGGAACCCAGCCAGCCGAGAAAACATTTCTGCGCTGGTTGGTAKGGAGTGGGCCCCTGGAGAGAAAGCCCGTATCATTTCTCCCGGGAGACCTCACTTTCACCTGGGAACCTTGGGGGCGGCTAGAACAGGTACAGCCTAGGAGGAGCCAGTTTCGGGTTCTCAATGAATGGACGGTGGTTTGGGGCTATTTTCAGAATTTCTAAGAGGCTTTCACACAAAACAAAGGCTTGAGAGTAACAAAGAGAACTCAGAGCTGGGAGGTGGGGGCRTGGGGGGGTCCTCTGACTCAGGAACAGGGAGACTTAGATGAAAGAACGGGGCTGGCCGGCTGCAGACTTGGGGAAGTTGCTTAATCGCTCTGGATCTGGATTTGGAGTTGCTGCAAGAATTCAGCAAGGACAAGTGTGGGGTGTGGAGTCTGAAAGCGTTGTACAGAGACCCCACACATTGTGGTGCTAAGGGTGTGATTGTTCTTGCCCCTGATATTGTTAGCATCGCCTGAGTCTATACTCACCATTTGACTCTGTCTATGTGCGTATGTGTTTCTATTTTTAATTGATCTCTATCATGTATCGCTCTTACCTCTCCGATCTTTAATCTACCATCTACCTATCTTAGTCATCATATCTATTTTTACCTTCATTATCTATCTTATATTTAATTTTCTAGACGAACAATTAGATTGTTAGTGCTTTCATTGCTCAGGACTTATATTTCTACGTAAATAATCCATGAATTGGTTAATAGACTGGTTGCACCTGGGAACCAAAGCAATCTGTATTTGAAAGAATAAATTCCAGTAGGTATGATAAGTGGTCTCATCTTCAGTTTCCAACAGTGCTTCTGTCTAGTGCCAGCTTCTTAGATTTCTTTCAGATCAACTGAAGAAATTCCCAGTGTGGAGTTTCCAGGGAAGCGATGTTGTTTTCCAGTGGTTGCAGGCAGCCTGGCTGCAGAACCCTGGCACCCTCTGCAGCATCTGGGTCACCTAGTTCCAACTGTGACCTTAGTCTCAGGACACCTGAGGTCAATGGTATTTCGGGAAGTCCAGCTATGCCACGTACTACCCACGGGCACCTCAATGTGCACCTCCTAGTGCACAAGGCTACACACCCTGCTACAATCTGTCCCAGAAAAACAAAGGCCACAGTGAGATAGTACTTCGTGTTCTATGCCTTGTACATACGTCATGATGCGTAAGGGACACTGAGAAGACACAATAGCCCCACCCTCCACATAGTGCTTTGTGATTTTCTGAGTCTTTTGCTGTGCATGTGTCTTTCTTTCTTGAGCTATATAATCCTGTAAAGCAAATGAGGACTGTCTCCCATCCTTCCTTCCTTCCTTCCTTCCTTCCTTCCTTCCTTCCTTCCTTCCTTATTATTATTATTATTTTTCATTCCTTTCCGTGCTGGGGATTAAACCCAGGGATATTCTACCAGTGGGCTACCACCTTAGCCCTTTTTAATTAAAATTTTTTAAAAAATTTTGAGACAGGGTCTTGCTAAGTTGCTGAGACTGGCCTTGAACTTGCGATCCTCCTGCCCCAGCCTCCCTAGCCACTGGGATTACAGTTGTGCACCTCTGTCCCTGGCAAGGCTTGCTTCTTTATTCTTGAGATGAAGCTACACCAGAGTTCCTAGTGACTAAGCAGAAGCACCACTGTGCACTGGAACAGGCCTTGGATTTTTGAGACAGCTGCATTATTAGTGCCCCTGCTGCTCTTAATCAGGCCTTAGAGGACTCAGCAGCCATCGCCCTGCCATCTCCCACACTGAGCTGGGTG